TTACCTCTGCCTCTGCCTCTATAGTTCCTTCCTCCCCTATTTCCTTGATATTGGGATCTTCCACCTCTATTTGAATTGAAATTCTGAGTGTAGTTCCTCTGATTGTTTTGGGTGACTAGATTTGCCTATGGCTGTGACCCTTCACTATTAACTACAACATTTTGATTCATTTCAAGCCTTGACTCATAGGTGAGAAGCAACGCATGAAGTTCAGCTAAGGTATCAGGAGGGAACCTTGAGGTGACATTCACCACTACAGAATCATATTCAGACCCCAAACCTGTTAATACATGAAGCACTTGATTCTGTTCTAAGACTCTGTCACCAGCTATGGCCAAGATATCACAATAGCCCTTGATTTTGCTGAGATACTCTCTCATGGTCAGCCCTGCCTTCTTCAAAGTTTGGAGTTTAAGCTTGTACTACATTATCCTAGCTGAAGATTGGCTTGCAAAATTGCTTTCAATGGTGTCCCAGATTTCTTGAGCAGAGTTTAGGCCTACCATCATAACCAAGATCCCTTCACTGAGAGAGGATAAGAGCCACGAGGCTAAGAGCTGATCTTGTCTCACCTAAAGAAGATATTCTGGATTCATTGTGAGCTCATTTGTGTCTTTGTCTGTGATCAATTTTTCTGGTTTCTTTGAGTCTCCATTGATGTAGCCTTCCACGACATAACCTCTTATGGCTGTGATAGCTTGTTGTTTCCATATAAGGTAGTTTGTTTCATCAAGTTTTGTAGAGATCAGCTGACTATTTGGTTGGATAAGTGAACCTTGAGCCGCTGCATTCATATTAAAGGATGAAGAACCACCTGTGGACTGGTCTGTTTAAGACATGGTAAATAAACTAGAAAAGAACGAGATGAATGATGAAGGTGTCAGAGACAGGAAGATCCCTCTCTGATACCATGAAAGAATTTCATGGTGAACATGCAAGAAAGCAAGATCTGAGAATTTGCATAAAAACCGAGTATTTCATTCATAGTGGCTGCTGTCTTGTTACATCAAAATGATAAACCCTACAACTTGAGTTCACTGACCAATCAATATATATAGAAGAATGAAGGGTGGATAAAGCTAAAAGTAAAACCAATCTAAAGGCTAGAAAGAGTGACACATAAGACACATAAAGGTATCCAAGACTTGTCTTCATGCATGCATGTAGGACCTGCATTTTGTCTCCATGCATGATATGTCTCTTTCTTTAATCACATGTGAAAAGCAGCTTGAATTAATTTCTTGGCTGGAAATATGTGAGCTGCTAACAAAAGTCGCCGGTTTTGGAGATAATGGACGTCGACGGGTGCGCGGCGGAGCAAGAAGTCCGGAGGTGTTGTCGGGTTTCAGTAGGTCGCCGGGAAATGCCGGAAAATTGAAGAAGAAGATCGAATTTTGACCAAATTTTTCTAGATGTAAAAACCTTGACCAAAGCAATTGACGGTCTTACTGGTTGAATTTTCGCCTAAAATTTTAAGGGGTGAACGAGGAAGAGACGAGCTTCAGGTTGATGCAAAAAAAAATCCAATCGGAGGTGCTCAAACGGCGTCCGGCGGCCGGATTCCGGCAGATGGGTGGAGACAAAATATGATTTTGAATTCAAGGGCACATTTTTTAAAATTTAATTAATTTTAGGGACTATAGTGTAATTAAAAAAGTTTTGTTTATTGCAATTTAAGCCTGGCATGATGTGGATTAATTGAGTTTGAAGTCAACGTTTCTAATCCCGCCACGTAAGTCACAATCACGCCATGTCAAATTAAAAAAGGCCACATCACATTTTTATCCCGGACGCGGATAAAATAGGACTAAATTTGATTAAATGGACAATTTATAGGACCCAAAATGAAAGTGGTCAATAGCGGAGTACATTTTTGAAAAGTGGCCAACTTAGAGGACAAAAAATGAAATTTAGCCCTATTTTGTTGGATCAATTTTCTTTTAGAAAAATTATATATTAGAATCATAAAATATAATTACAATTTCACATTAAAATTATATTACAAATCAGGAAGTTTTTCAAAACATCAGTTATATATCCTTTCAAAATTTTGTTGTTTTGGTTGATTTTGGATAGATATGAAAGTAAGCAGTTTGACCAATATGGGAAAGAAACAAATTCGTGCGGAATGACGGTATGAGAATATTGATGTTGATTTTTTGGAGATCTGGAATGTTTTGTTCGTGTATCTATATTTAATTAAATAAATATTAATTATTAATTAAAAATATAAGATATGATGAGTACTAGTGTATTACTAATTTGCTATTAAAAATAAGTCAAAGTAAAAAATTTTTAGGTAGTTTATTTGTTAATCTATATCTATATCAATATCTATATCTATATCTATCTATACTACGAGTGTTTTTGTAAAAATATAAACTACCTAAAAAACCCTTATTTTGACATAATTTTAATGACAAATTAGTAATACACTAATACACATCATATTTTATATTTTTAATAAAAAATACTCTACCTAAAAACCCTTACTTTGACATGCTTTTAATGACAAATGAGTAATATACTAATATTCATCATAGTACAATAGTTTTTGATCCCGTTGTTAGCAGTCATTTTCTTATTGGACTCTCTTTATTGTGCTAAACTCGGTACCCTCTTGAGTCTTGATGCAAAAGTGTTCAATCCTTCATGGTTGGGTTCACGGGTTTCTGCTTTTAGTTTTAAAATACTTTTAAATAATATTTAATTAATTATATACAATACATGAATAAATCATTTAACACTCCTAAAATCAACTACAATATGTTGACACCATTATTTTTCACGAATTCTGAAACGTATACTTATTACGGAGTGCGCTTAATGGTGGTGCGAACTGAAAATAAGAACTGAATAATGCGGAAGCAATAAACCGAAGATTTAAAAACTCTTCAGGGAAGAGTCCCACTTCCCCTCAGAGCTCTTTCATTGATAGATCAACCATACACATAGCTTGGACTTACAACGACTCGAACTCCCTTCAAGCCTAGCCAACACTACACAGATCCTAT